GAACCCCCTTCGGCCGACGCGCCGTTCTTTTCGGAGTCTGGAGCGGTGGTGGCGGCGGCAGCGGCGGCAGCAGAGCCAGGTGCTGGTGGAGTGCTGGTAGCGCCAGCGGTCAGCTCTCGTCCCCCCGTTTCCGGCACCTTTTCCGCCACCTTTTCCGCCGCCGACTCTTTTTCCGCCGCCGCCTTTCCCCCCGTCGCTTCTTTTCCCCCCGCCGCCGTTCCCCCCGCCGCCGCTTTTTCCGCCGCCGCTGCTTTTTCCATCGCCGCCTTTTCCGCCGCCGCCGCCGCCGCTGCCTCCCTCCGAGCAACCCGCGGGCCCTTCGTCGATGGCGGGGGCGGCGGCGGGCGTTCCGGGGGCTTGACCCCGCTCGAGATCCAGCGCTTCGTGTAGCAGCGGCCACCGACCCTCTGCCTCGCCTGTTGTCAGAGTCCACCACGTGGCCGCGGGTCGGCAGACGGTACGAGTGGAGGCCAGAGTGTCTCTGTGTTTGCGAGGTGCACTTTAGTATTGTCTCTGCTGGTGCTGGCTACGAGTAGCGAACAGCGCAGTATACTGGCGCCAGAACATCAAAACATACAACGGCAGATAACTTTGGTGCGCGTAACTCCCGTGTACAGGGCGACGAAAGTAGTGTCACGCGTGTGCATTTCCACGCTTGCGAGAAGAGAGACTGCCAAAAAAAGGGGTTCCTTCTCTCTCGAAGCAGGTCGGCATCGAATAGGACACGAGTTAATCGCGGTCATACATGAGAAGAACCGTGTTACAAGGTGGGACGAGGTCTCCGGTACACACGTCTTCGACACCACCACGCGGACACTAGTCAGACCACAAATCCGAAGGGTAACCGTATCCTACATCGACGTGCACGTCCAATGTCCCCCCCCCAAAAAACAAATTATACTCTGCACCCCCCCCCCCTCCTCCGGCTCACCTCCACCACGATAACTTCTATGCCCAGTTTCTGCAGCTCGAGCGCAGCACCAAGCCCTGCGAATCCGGCCCCGACAACAACGACCCGGTGCGGCCGTCCCAACGAGCTCACTACGACAGGCTTGATGGAGTCATCTCGCGGTTTCTTTTTTCGTGCCGTGGCCGTGGGGTCGCCGCCGCCGCCCTGCACCTTCCGCTTCTTCTTAGCTGCCTCCACAGCGCTAGTGTCTTCCTGTCTTCTCTTATTTTTTCTGGAGGACTGTTGAAGCTGCTGCTGCTGCCGCTGCATCTTCCGTTGCTGTTGCAGCTTCTGCTGCTTTCGCCGTTGCTGCCGCAGCTTCTCCATCTTCCGCTGTTGCTTCCGTCGCTGCCTCTGCCGCTCCTCTTCCTCCTCATCGTCTTCCTCTTCTTCCTGCTCCTCCTCCTCCTCCACCACCTCCTCCTCCTCCTGCTCCTCCTCATATTCCTCCTCGTCTTCCCCTCCCCCAAAATCCTCAACACCTTCATCCTCCTCCTCCTCCACCA